CTCTCTCTCTCTCTCTCTCTCTCTCTCTCTATCTATCTATCTCTCATAATTCTTGATTAAACGCTTTCGCTCATTTAATAACTATTGAATGAACGTCATTAAAATGATTACAGATTAATACAGTGCAATAATCACTATTAATAGTCATCAATATAACTCTAATAAATTTGTTTAAGCGCTTGTTAAAAGAAAATTGCTAATTATTATAATTCTGTCTATTTGTAGTATCCTTTAATTTTCTAACAAAAAAAAAAAAAAAGAAAAGAAAAAAAAATCATTGAGATTTTAATCTCATTCAAGAAAATATATACATAAATAAAACGAATTATATATAATTTTATATGTGAATCATGCAGTCATAAGCGATCGGTTTTTTCTCTGTTTAAATATAACTATTTATAATTATAATTACATATAAATCATTTACAATTTACGTATAAACTTTTTCAGGATATTCTAGTCTATTGTTTATTTTCATTTATAATTAATTCAGCTGCTTTCGATGTCAATTAAAAAAACTTATCGCAAAGAATAAGACTTGGATGAATAAAATTTTCATTACATACATTATGTTAATTGCAACACGTGATTATAAATTAAAATAATAATATAATGCTTGCAACTATCCAAAATATTAAAGAAGTAGTTGACATAGTAGCATTATTTTCTTATACAGTTCACTATTATTCAAATATAATTAATAAATAATAAAATTCATAGAAAACGTAATTTCTATATTGTAAAAAAATCTATAATAAAATAATTGTATAAATTTCTCGAGCTTAATTTCATTATGACGAGGTTATAAAAATCTATAAATAAATTCAATAATCATTAAGTCAACATTCTGTAGTAAAAATAAAAAAAAAAAAATAATAAAAAAAAAAAAAGAAAAAAAGAAATTCGACTGACTGCACTGAATATATAATGTTCTGCGGCATTATATAAGTGTCACAATACATTATTGTTGAATCACATTGTCGTTTTTGCTCTAATTTGCTCTTAAATAAGCATCTTAATATTTTAAACTGGCGCAAATCATAAATATATGTATTATCATTTTATTTTTATAAAAGCAGTTAGTTATAAAAGTGAACTAAGTCTAGTTCCTGAATAAATTTGGTAATCAATATTTAGTGAAAAAGTCACTATAAAAATCAAGAATATTGAAAAATATATACCCAATCTTGACAATTTTTCATTCACATCTATACGACTTTCTCGACACGATAACTGTCTTTCAATATTTTATCAGTTCTCCTCTACGGAGATAAAAAAGTGGACAAGTAAATTGGAAAAATCTTTCTTTCAACATTTTACAATATTTTTCTTTTTCTCGCTGATGCACATAAAAAATTTCATAAGACGCAAATTCAGCGCAATTCAACATTCTAAAAATTTATCCACATTAAAGTGTGGTCACTATTTCGCGTCACTTGATACGTGGACTTTTATATCAGATTGCGATACGTCGTAACAACGGGCAAAAGTATCAACTATTGGTGATGAGATATGGAACAAGTTATGCAATATTATCATAAGGATTGCAATATGAACTCTCATGGCAAATACAATAGATTTCCAAACACTTGGCATAATCATATTGAAGTGATAAATTTTCGTATTTGACAATCAATGTATGGCTTCAAGAAATCCGTCTCTCTAACAGATTCCCTAACAGAATTTATACCATATAACAAAACTAATTCTCACGTATAAAGTGAAATGGTAAAAATTACTATACTTTTTGAAACTTTTCTGTTAGAATTGATTTCTTGTACTGTTTAGACTCGCAGAGAATATGATAAGCTCGGCAAAGTTTCTTATTTATTGCACATTCCAACTGAGTGAGTCTTACACGTGGCAATCGATTACTCGACTTTTACGAATTTCTCTGTCTATATATGTAAATCTCGTCATAGACTATTCGCTTGTCCATTAAAAGCTACTCCCTCGTTCATATTTATTCATCGACGCACACAATCGACACTGTCGGAAATGACTAAGTTGCTCAGTTGACAAATGGCAATGAAGCTTCAATATCTCTTAGACAGTCTGTCGAGTTCACCGTTGCAATCCCGGGGCTTCTCTCAAAATATCTTGCTCCACATCTTAACCATCTTCTAGAAAAATTCCCTGCCTTGATGGGGACGGTTCGTCTGATGGGAGAGCCTTCCACGGCCCCTGTTTCCGTTTCCTCCTCCTCCCCCGCCGCCGTTACCGGCGCTTGTCGGGTGCCTCCTTGTATTGCGCAGCTCCCTGTCGACCTCGAGTTCCTCTAGCTTCATTGTCAGGCCGAGTTTCTGCTGCACGGCAAGGCGTAGCAGCTGATTAAGAGTCTTGCGGTCTTCTTCGGCCACGGCGAGTTGGCGCTTCAGTTCGTCCTCCCGAGTCGCATTCTCCTCGCATCGCGCCACAAACATTGCGCGTAAACCTGCGTGTGGGCGAGTATTTTGTTAGAGGGGGGCCATTATTTAAACACGAAAGCAAAGAGACAGTGTGAGGAAGTAAGAGAGAGAGAGAGAGAGAGAGAGAGAGAGAGAGAGATGGAGAGGTTAAGAGTGGCAATAAAAGGAAGGGGCGAGGGGAAGGGCGAATATAAGAAAATGCGAATGAGAAAGGGGGATAAAGCGAGCTCCTATACGCAATGCGATAGATAAGATTTATATCGGGAAGGAGATTAGTTAACGACGATGGTGGTAAATATTTAATTCATTTATACAGAAATTGAAGCCCATTAATTCTCTTTAATTTAAACGCAATTTGTCATGTCAAAACATTAAAACCCTATATAAACTACAAATATTAACTGTTAAAAATTTCATTGATAAGATAATAAAAATTGAATAAAGTAAAGAATAATTTGTATTCATTTAAATTACAGACACGGATAAGTTATATTTCGTTTATGTTATATTTTAATTCACCTGCACATTTATAGAATTAGTCAATATTTTATAAATTATCTTACGTAAAAATTTTATCTATTTACTCTGACATTTAAAACAACAATAAAAATTGAACTTTCGTTCTTAATTCATATAAAAAATTGACACTAAATTTCTTTCTCGCTTTAATTAACTATATTACATAAAAATCAACATCACAACTCCTGCTTCATTATATCACGATGAAAATATTAATTATAATAATATAATACAATCATGTTACGTAACATCAAAAAGATTGGGATTTACACATATACATACAATATTCCATGTCCAATAATAATGATTATTTACATAAATTTATTGTTCACGTACACAGAAAAATTACATAAGGCTTCATTTATAAAAAATAATCATACTACTGAAAACTTGATGTTTAAATAAATAATATGTATTAATAATAAAATAGTCACAAATTAATTTGATTAAAAAACTGTTAATATTACTGTATTATTTGAAACTTCAATAAATAGATATATTTAAGTTTAGTTTTTCTATTGTTATTTTTAGGAATTGTTAAAGATTCTTTAAAGAGATTTGAACATGATTAAATACCAATAAATATTTATTACTTAAATAATTATGTTATTAATTTTAATTTATATTGTAATATGTATATACATGCACGCACGCATAGAAATCAAATTTAATTTATTTTTAGAAAATTTATTAAAAAAAACAGCTATAAGCAAATACGTTTGAATTAACATTATTTAAGAGGTTATAATAAATAATTACATTTTTGTATATACGTACACATACGCGCGCGCACACGCACACAGACACACACACACACACACACACACACACACACACACACACACACTCTCTCTCTCACTCTCACTCTCACTCACTCGCGCACATGCATATTTAAACAATTTTAGAATAGTTTTTATAAAAAAATTTAAAGAAATTCTATCAAAATTGTCCCTACCTACAACTGGTAGCGAAATTTTATACACAATTTCCAAAGAAATATGATCGAAATAAAGTAGGATTAATTAATACTTGATAATTAGATTCAATAATTGTAACAAATCTATACAAATTCAATGGAATATTGGAAAATAATTTTACATTAAGTAAGTTTAAAATACAACATTTACAAATAATAATCTGATTAAACTTTTAAAATAAATTTATTTAAAACAAATATTGCTATTAATCCAAAGAATTTACTGTTATTGAATTATTCAATAAACATAATATTAAACACTTTAATGTTAAATTCATTGTTTAAAAATACATCCATCGTCGTATTTAATATATTTTTGTACTATAATTGGCTATTTAATTTAAGAAAGTATCATTTTTGTCATTGTTGTAAAATAAAAAACGGAATTGTTCATCTTAATTACGTATAAGGAATTGAAATTATCGAAGTAATTCGTAATAATTATGTTTAAAATATTTAATAACATTTATTTACATATTAGAAGAGTAATTTTAAAACTTTATACAATATGAAAAATTCCTATTAATATTGATTACTCTTAATCTTTAAAATGCATGAAATAAAATTCTACTGACTTATACCAATATTATCACCTATTTATGTAAATTATTATTTGAACTTCTGGTAATTTTGTCAGCAATTCTTTACAACCATCAGAATGCAAATCACATAAGTTAATTCAATATACAGTTTAAATATTATATAAAAAATATAATTTATAAATATTGATAAATTTATCAATATTAGTAATATTGACTATGTCAATTTTATTCGATATTACCTGTACTCAGATCGAATATTCTTTATTATTACTAAAATTAATTTCTCCTATTAAAAAATACTTAATATATTATACAGTGTTAATGTATATAATACCGTTAAAAATTAAATAACATACAAAATCGAATGGCAAAAACAAAATTCAACTACAGATAACTAATGCTAAACCCAAATCGACAGTAACGCAACCGAATATTATTACGAGTATTGAAGTTATAGCTACACAGATATTTATGATTGTTATAAGAAAGCATTAGTTTAAGCACGTTAGTGGAAGATAAAGAGGGAAAAATAAACATATTATTAAACATATCTAAATAAATATATGAATAAGCTATAAATTAAAACATAATACTTTTAAGAATAGTGTGTATTCATGAAATTACAAACAAAAAAAACAAAAAATTCCAATAAAATCATAAAGCTTGCTAAATAAATACATGCCAATGAAAGCTTTTTGTGATACTAATTTGTTATACATATTTGCATTGTTACGTAAATAAAATTTTTAAAAAAATGAATAAATAAATAAAATTGTAGATGCAACATTGTAACTGTACTTACTTGAAAACGTTGCTGCACTTTCTTTCAATGATCTTAGCTCGTTTCTCAGCTTAACCATTGTTTCGTTAACAATAGTTTTTTCATTTTCATATTTGCTCTTGAGATTACTCAGCGCCACTTCTGCTGTATTTTTATTAGACTTCAAAACTGTTCTCAAAGTCGCTATTTGCTCTCGTTTGGCAGAAAGTAGCGCTTTCAATCGAATAACCTGCTCTTGTAATTCTGTTACTTCCAACTTATTCTCACTAACTGAGGCTGAAAGAATTTTTACATTTCACTACAGTTATTATATTATGTTATACAGTATTTTAAAATTTTAATTATAAACACATTTTAAGATTTAACTAAAGTTTGAAAGTACTACGAAATTCGAAATAAAAACGTTTCTATGAAAAAACACATTACATTTTAATTTTAAATTATCACCTTCGCACACAGTGCACATTTGAGTTTTGTTTCCCTTGAATTTGGACAGCTCGATTGTGTGCTCAACTGCATTCTTTAAATGTTTGATTTGATCCATGGCCGTCTCAATATTCTTGGTAATTTCTTTAGCTCTACTAAGACTTTCAAGATCTTTAATTTTGATGTCTGTCTTAAATAATGTTCTGCACCATTCAATTTTACTACCATCGTCTTCATTTTCAGGAACAATTTTTTCATGATCAAGTATAACCTAAAGATTGGCAGAATTAAGTTTAAAATTGCATGAAAAGAATTTTATTTACTAATTCGCTTATTAAATAAAACATAACATATTGTATGAAAAATTCTAAAATTTATCAAAACATTGTTACTTACTCTTGATGGTGTTTCACCATTCACTGTACAAACATGATGATAAAGCTGAGCGAGTTCATCTGACATGTTTTGAAGATCATTTTGGGCAGACTCTAATGAACTACCAGCTTCCGCAGCGAGTTTTGAAAGAATGCTAACATCCGACTCTAGTAACATGCTTCTCTGCTCCGTGTCCAAAAGCTGAAATTACACACACACGCGCACAAATGTATATATACATTTTATATGTATATGTATATGTATATTAATACTTAAGTACTATTACTTCAGTTTGGAAATCTAATTAATTAACCCTTTGAACACTAATTTTTACTTTCAAATTAATTAAAACCTTGTAATAAAAATGCTTTAAGAAATGCTATTTATAAATTAATAAATTAATGTTATATTAAGGGTAAAATTCTTTTTAATATAAAATTTTATATAACTACACTTGCTTTTCAATTTATTATTTTTAATAGCATTTTATAAAGAATTTCTATCGCATGAAAATTCAACATTTTCATTAATTACAAAGACAAGTGGTTAAAGGGTCAAAATCTTGCATGATAATTTATCATGTGGTATTAATAATAATTGTCAGTGCATCAAGAATTTAATGTAAACTTTATGCACTGCATTATATATAACTTATTTATTGTTGAAGTAATCATTCATTTCTGAGAAAAGGATCTTACAATGCAAGTTCTTATTGTTTCGTGCATTCAGACTCTACAAGAACGTAAAATATTATCATGCCATGTTAGCAGAAGATGAGACAAGTATAAGGTTCGAAGATTAGAGGAGTCATTTGAATTAAGTAAAATTTTTGTTATCGTATTTAATGATTTTGTTTAATAAATCAGTTATTCAAATATTAATGTAAAGGCTTACTAAAGAAATTGTTAAACATAATGCTTTTTATGCAATTTCAATAAAAATATAATGTAGTTTTTATGTCATCTATCATACTATATGCTTCGGAGATAAGCTTTTAAAATTTATTTAGCATGTTTATTCTAATTTTTAATATTTTTTCTAATTTTTCCTTTTTCTCTATGTAGATAGATCTATAAGTATAAATGAAAATTTTTATTTACCAAATTTATTAATTTTTGGTTTTTTTTTTTAAATTAAAATTTATATTAAATGCTACATTAATTTACAATATAAAAAGAATGATGTGTTTCGATTGACAGTGACTATTTTCTTGAAGAAAATAAAAAATTCAATATTTCATGTAATATTTCAATTTTATGAATATAACATTTTTTTCAGTTTTTGTTTTTTCAATTTTAAATCGCCTTTTATCTTTCCCTTTTACAAAAGAAAAAGAAAAGAAAAACTATTTACTACAAATCAATCGTATAGAAATTTTAAAGCACATTCTTGTGATGAAGTGATGCAATTCGATCGTTACCATTCGCTAGCAAGATGCAATGATATTTTGTTGCATAGAAATGATTTTTATCTCATCGTCTGCAATGCCATGTCAAGATTTTGTCAGTTAAAGCTGTATAAAGAGTATTCCAAAAGTCTAATTAAATAAATGCAAGATTCCAAATTATAGGTTCTGTTGCCATTTAACATAAATCAAGAAATTATTAATCAAATTATAATTTTACTACTTGTTATTTTGCATTTAATTTTCGATAATTCGTGTAATTAAATTTGTTCAAAACATAAAAGTAATTAAGATCAAAATATACTGTATAATAATAATATCTAATCATTTATGAAACAAAAATTCCTTATTCCAATGTAGTTTGAATAACAAAATTAAATTGCTTTCCTATATAATTATGCGATGCTCCTATATTGACTAAACATTATCAAATCTATGAAGTAGAATGAAATATTAAAATTTTAATTTTATCATATTTAGAATACCCTATATACAAGGCACGGTTAGGACAATGACAAGCTGTACGAATTCATTAGAGGAGGCAAAACCATATTAACAAATCAGTAAATACGTCAAGAGGATCACATTCCCCGACCTTTTCTTGAAGGCTCTTCTCTGATACAGGTATCTGAAATGTCACAATTTCTATTCAAATTTGGTATCTAAATCTTCCTTATGCCAAAAATTGTCTTGCATTAGCGATTCTTTTATTAAATAATAATTGTTTATGAAAATGAAATGTGTCGATTCATAAAATCATCACCCAGATAATATGAAATTGTAAAAAAGTACTTTTATGCAATAAATGCTTATTATTATTCTATATTTATTATTCTATCTGATAAAATAAAGTGAAAATGTCATCCGAGATAATATAAATTACTCCTGAGCTTCGAAATTAAAAATTTATTTAGTTTTACCTTATTACGAAGATTTGTCAGCTCTGTTCTTAAATGTTGGGTTGAATCTGAAATCGTCAGACCTTTCTCTAACTCAGCCAAATCCTTTTGAAGTTGTTGTAGTTCTTGAGCTGACATTGTACTCCATTGATGATATTGTATTACGGCCTACACAAAATACAAAAATTTACCATAAACTATAAAAACTTGTTGTTATTAATTAATATTATTATCTAATAAGTATCATAAGCAGTTGTAATAACTTGTATAATTTTATTTTACCAAATTAAGCTTATCAAGAGTTGTTTCATCATTTTGTTTTTTCGGTAGTTTGGAATGAATATGTTGCAACGATTGTACATGAGCTGCTAATTGAACAATTCGAGCTATGAAGGATTGTAATTCTGTTTGACTTTTTTCAACGGCACACTGAGATTCTTTTAAATTTTGCGTCAACATAGCCTTTTCGGTCTCAGCCATTTCTAGTTGCTTTTCAAGCTTCTTTAATTCATTCAAATGAATTTCCGAGAACAAGTCAACCTATTTGAAAAATCAATATTTTTAGTATTAAGAACATTTATTTCTTAAGTTATAGTGACATTATATTGCGCATGAATATAGTATATGAGATCAAATTAAAAATTTTTAACTTTTAAATGAATTTTCAAATTATAAAGTAATAAATTTAATAATCATTTATTAAACAATAAGTTTTATCTTCCGACCTGTTTATTCGCTGTTGAAGTTCCAGGCTCTTGAGTTTTCAAATCATCCTCAATTCTTTGTAATGCTGGAGAATCATCTTCGCCATCACTGCATATAGTTTGATCATCCGTAATACCTCGAATAGAAAGCGCAAGATTACTAAGGTTATAGATAGATTCACTGTTCATTCGTTGATCGAGCTCCTTTTTAAGAACATATTTTGCTTCTCGCTCCGCTTGCAGTGACTCTAACGCTTCTTCCATTTGTTTTTCAGCTATTTTTTTTAAATTTGATAACTCTTCAACTTGACTATTTAAAAGTTCGACTTCCTCTGTCAACCTGCGAATTTCATGTTTGGCACCTTCAAATTCAACCTGACTCGAGCGTAGAGTAGATACCTGTTTCTGCAAGGAAATGTTTTCGTCTTCAAGTTCTGTGTAGTCTTGAAGCAATCTCGTTTTACGAAATTTACATTCCTTAAGTTGGGTGCGTAAGCTTCTTCGCTCTGACTCTACTAAATAATTATCCTTACTAATGTCTTCTTTCTCTTGTAAAGCATGATCTCGTTCAGCTTCTACTCGTTCTAATTCGTGTCTTAACTAAAATGAATATACTAATTAATATAGTTTTATACACAAATAACATTAATATTACTTTATAATTTTAATATCGACATAAATATAAAAATTTGTATTAAAAATAAGCTAAGATACAACTAATTTACAATTATTGTACTTATTCATTATAATTATAAAATACATTTATTACCTGTTTTACTTCGTTTTCAAGTTCAATAATTTCAGTTTGTAAACTAGTTTCACGCGCAGCACTTTCATGTAATAAGCTCTCTTCTTGTTCAATGCCACTACGTGTTGTCAATTTTGTAGTTGTTTGATATTTTATTAAAGCCTGGAAATAAAATTAAAAATTAAAATTAAAAATAAATTTAAAAATTAATCACAATCTCGTTAAAATGTGGATATCTGTTATAATTTTTTAGTTCAATAAACAGTGCATAAATAGTTTCTAAAAATCAATTAAATATTTGTATTTAAAAATACATTAAAAATTGGAATATATTTTCAATTATATGTATAATGAATTTGTATTTGTGAATTTATTAATTTCACGAAATTGCAAGTCATCAAAGACAATTAAAAATGTTAAATAATCATTTAAAATGACTACAGCATAAAATAAAATTATACAATAAAGCATTGTTCTATTTTTTAAATATATGTCTTTAACTTGTAAAAAAAATTATTATTTAAGCTTAGCATATATAGAATTTGGAATACCTTTAGTACTCAGTTACGCTTATATATCTTGGATAAAGTTAATATAAGTTATAACAAAATGGATATTTAAAATAAATATTAAATGATAAATTGAATGGTATTTTCAATCAATAGTACAATATAAATTTTTATAAAATATTTTATGTCCATAGTAATATAATTCAATAAACGTAATTATATAAAGTCTTAATATTCACATCACTACCATAATTGACAAATAAAAAATTAATTAAAATCGTTTATGTGCAAATCTAGCATACATTATTTAAAATAATATAATACTTATTTAGATACTGATTAAGATAAAAAGTATATCGTTATGTTTCCATTTAAAAAAATTATAAAACAATCATTATCGATATACGCTGATTAACCAAACGTCGCTTTAATTTAAGGGTATCGATGAAATTAATTAAATAAAACATTAAAATATATCTTAAACAATTAATATTGTGAAATAAATGTAAGAAAAATATTTGATAGTTAATACAAACAAAAAAAAAAAAAAGAAATAATAATTTCACCTTGTATTAATAACAAAATAATACTCTATAATTTATCTTTAAAAAAATACTAAAAAAAAAAAAATTTAAACATGCAAATCAATTCATTTCCATTAAAGCAATTAGTATTTATTACATCAATAATCTTTACTCGATATAAAAATTCTAATATTCCATTATTTTAAAAGAATATCTTAAATTTTATTATGAAATATTAAATTATCGTTAATTCAAGTCAGCTGCTTATAAACTCTAACAAGCAGATAAATTTGCAGACATGGCAAAAGTTGTTTGAATTTGTCATCAAAAGAAATATAAAAATGGCCATTTACAATAATAATTTAAATAAGGATAGAGGAGGATTGAAATATGTCAGGTGAAAATGAATCCGACATACACACTTTGCTTGTAATCACATAAAAATGATATTTTATGACTTGAAATTCCAGAGTTTGAGCTTCTATCGGCCAAACAGAAAGCTCCGCAATTTAAGTAATAATCGGCTAAAAACTATTTCATAAGAAGCACACTAACCTCTTGAGTAATGTCGAGCTCGTGCTTGGTGTTCTCGTAGAGTCCCTCCAGCTCGTTGCATCTTTGTTGTAGCGTGGATTTTTCCTCGAGCAGGGCGAGTCCGTACTGTGCCGACTGGATCTTCTCCGTGGACGCGAGGTCGAGTTCCCGTGACAGGCGCTCGATCTCGGAGCGCAAATCGGACAGCAGTGCTTCGTCCGTCGTCGCGGTCATCTCTCGGCCGCGTACTCACGCTCGACGTCTCGATTAACCTCGCTCGCGCGTATTTTCCTCGTTGACAGTTGGACGGCGACGCCCAGGTTAATGCGACAGGCCTAAACAAACATGCGACAACGTTACCGCGACGATCCCCGTGATGTCTCCAGCTCGCCCATTTTGGACTGCTTCACCGGGAACATTCCTTCTCCCTCTCTGTCTCTCCCTGCTCTCGCCCCTCTCGCACTCTCGGCAATCCTCTTGCCCCCCTCGCTGCCACCGCACGTTCTTACTTACTCTCTCTCTCTCTCTCTCTCTATCTCTCTCTCTCTCTCTCTCTCTCTCTCTATTTCTATCTCTATCTCTCGTAGAGGCACTTTTATTTACACAATCCTTTTATTCGGCCCCCGCTACCCGGCACTCGACGGGGCTTACAAGGTCGCCGCGGACGTCGTCGAGGATAGATCAGCAGCTAACTTATACGCTCTCATAATCTCATAATTCCGTTTCTGAAATTCCTGATGCGTCGCGCGAGGGACCGGATGGACACGCATGGCTCTCCTTCACTATTCGTCTCTTTTTCTCTCGCCATATCCTTGTAACGCGCACACTCGGCTTACCGCTTTACGAAACAATCTCATGTATATGGATTCCTTTTAAAAACCACCGCTGCTCGTCGACACACGTATTTACCTTCGGCATCGGAGAGAGCAAGTGCCGAGAGGTTCGATAATATCACATTTCTTCAAATGGGACCAATCGCATGCGACTCGATAGCATTATTACATTCTTTCTTTTTTTTCCTTTTTTTTTTTTTTTTTTTAACAAGTTTTATATGAGCGAGCATTACGAACACCTGACACTTTTGAGATTTATCGTAAATAAACAGTTCTAATTATAAATTAGATTGTGAAGTATCTATGCTACTTCACTGGCTTTGATTCAATTAATTCAATTCACAATGAAACATTCTCTCAAGTTCTATATAATTGAACGTTGTTTAACAAAGCCTGATTGGAATTTTAATTTATTAGTATATTTAATAACAATATGTTAATAACAATATTTTTTTACAGCAGCAGTAGCAGCAGCATTTTAATAGCATTTGTAAGACAAAAGTGCGTACTTGTTTGAAATGATAACCCAAATTTACTTACCAAGTGTTCGAAAGAGGCACGTGTGCAAGTCAAGTGTAATTTCTCTCGCGTACTAAAGTTTTTTTAAAACGCCAATACCCAAGAACAATTACTTTTTTAATTACTTATATTGAGATACTTGAATAATAATAATAATAATAATAATAATAATAATAATAATAATAATAATAATAATAATAAAAAATATGTACAATAATTTTAAAATTAATAAAAGAAGGGAGCGATTGTTTTGACGATTGAATTTTTTTCAATTTTAATTGAACTGTCATTTCTTTATAGTTTCAAAGTTTCAATGTACATTTTTCGTCAATTAAAAAACTTTTAATTTTTAAGTTAAAAAAAAATTCTAGATATATCGATAAACTATAAGTTATTTGTTCAATAAACTACTTAGAAATGTAATGACACTTTTAAAAAGTCTTCGTTATCTCACTTGTATCGCCTTAATAATTTTGCCTTTTCAATGATAATCAAAAATTGTCAAGTATTTTTGTTAAAATTAAAAAACAATAGGGAACTCAATTAATTGGATTAAGAGCTTATTAATGAACTAGATAATTTAATGAAAGCTTTAAATGCAATTAAGTATTAATAAATATTGGTAATATTAAACAATAGATATTGTATTTAATACGATATTTTCTATTTAACGTACGTCTTAAAATTTACATACTTTTTCATCTTTTGTTCATGTGCAACTAATCGCCTGAACATTTATTCATACATTTTCATACACTTTTATTTAGATAGGAAATTTTTGATCAATTACAAGGTAGTTTTTTTATTTAACTGAAAAGTAGTAAGGCATAATTTTAATTTGTGTTATGCTTATTATTACAATTATCATTGAAAACTAATTACCATATTTCGATGTAAAAGATATCTAATATTTTTAGATTAAATTTAATTTACATAAAATAAATTCGGGCTGTTATATTTATTTATGTTATAGATAGAATCTTAAAAATATTTTTATTACATTAAAAGTTCAAATTTTTAAAGTAAAAAATAATTTCGTGTATGATTACTAATGATAATTTAAATTCGTTATTAAAATGACAATAAAACAAAAAACAAAACAAAAAAAATTAAATTGACAAATTAATAATTATAAATGAATATAATAAGGAAAAATGTAAAGAATAAGTACTTGAATAAAGTGTTAAAATAAAAAATTTAAATTAAAATAAAAGACATAAGACTTTACATAAAACTTATACTGAATTTTATATTATTTAATTATAATTGAATTGTAAAAATTTCAAATAATATCAAATTAATTCCAAAATACTTAATAATCACAATATTTAATTATCTATTTAAGTCTCTATGTATTCTTTAATGCTTAAAATAAATTTCGCAATAATGTGAAATGATATTCCATCTAAAGTTATTTATAGAATCTCGATCTATTTTTAAGAATAATTTTCTTTAAATAGTTTGACATATAATAGTGATAGTATATAAAAGTGGCCGTATATGCTGAATATTTATCTTGCTAAAACTTCATTTAATATAAAGAATTAGTTTACAATTCATCCTTATAATATATGTAACAATAAATACAAGATATCAAATATAAATTAAGTAAATATAAAAAAAAAAAAAAAAAAAAAAAAAAAAAAAAAAAAAAAACAATAATTAATATACATTCGGTTTATTAGCTATCAGCTATACAGCTTCAATTAGCTATTAACATACTTTCACTATTAACTTTTACTATTAACATTTGTATATTTGTTGTGTGTTTTCTTTTAAAGCTTAATAGTTATTGTAAAAAAAATCGTTATCTTGCTCTCTTTCTATATTTATTAAATATAATAATTTATAAGTAACAATAGAAGCAATGTCTTCATTTTCTTTCGAATAAATTTTTTTAATATTATAATATCTAATTCAGGAGGATCTATGACAATAATTTTGACAAAATTAGAGACTTAAACAATGGTGATGCCAATAATATAATTATAGCTATATATTAATCTGAAAATGTAATTTAATTGTGAAGCAAGTGTAATATGTTATTACCTAACTGCTAATTAACCTAATCAAATAGCGAACACGAAGAAAATAAATTTATATTTTGCAATATTGTAACGACATTATTTATTATCGTTTATATAGATTTTTAAAACCATTGATAGAATAGGCTAAGCGAATAATGCGATTATTTGCACAAAGTTGGCTTTATATGTATTCTTTAAGTAATACTTATTACGTTCAATTTATAGTATAACTTAAACCGTAAAATAATTTTATATAATATTCTTCATTTTTTTTTTCGTTTTTATGACGAAATTCTATGTATAAAGAAAAGTCAGCATTTAAAAGATTTATTAACATTAAAATAATATTGAGGTTTTTAATTTAAATATTATTTTACTTATATTTGTATAAAATTTTTAACTGGCTCAAATATAAAAATTACTAAAATTTTCATCGTAAAATTGTGTTCAATGAAATGAAATTAAGTATTCAGTAGCGAAAATCATATAAACTTTTTTAAGAGAGATTAAACATGTAAAAGATCTTTCATTAGCAATTAATAACATAAATTAATTTACGTGTTTGGATTTCGAAATAAAAATACCAATTTAAAAATTATTTGTTTTATTTTAATTCATATTTGATAGTCGAGTATCAAGATCATTTTAAGTCATAAATAAAATAAATAATTAATAATTACAAAATACTGTTAATACGTTTATTAATATTTATTTATATTATATTATTTAATACGAAAGAAATTTAGCTGCGAAAGTTAACTTAAGTTCAATTAGTAATGCAATGTATTTAATCTGAAATTATCAAAATGTTTTTACTTAAAGAAGTTAAAAGTCTTTTTATATAGTAATTGTTTTTAAATAAAATATTTATTTTACATGGATAAACCATATGATTTAAAACTAACTATTTAATGTAATAATTCACTCGGTAATGAAATACCATAAGAAAAATATTATCCGTATCATTAATTTGAATAAGGCTATTGTAAAATAATTTTTTATTCAACTTTAAAATTTAAAGTATGCAATGCAAAAAATTATTAAAGAATTATTTTTTTAATAATTACAGACAGATATACACTGTAGTAGAAAACTCATTATATGAATTAATAATAAAATTTTTTAGGTAATAAAGTATATTGAAAAACAGGTATTATATTGATAAAAAATGTTTATATATTCATTGATTAATTAATTCATTTGTCGAATATTTTATTTTATTGATTAGGAATATTAATTTTACGAATAAAAAAATTATTACATATATAAATTACAAAAATTTTCTAAGGAAATTAAATTACTTTTAAAGGTTAAATTTATTATTACAATTTTTTATTCACCAAAGAATTATCTTTAAGTAAAATCTTATACGCTGTCTTCATTTATATTATTTTATAAATAATTTGTAAACTTAGTAACCAGTGCGTTTAATCATTTTTATAATTGCGTAGACGAATATAAGTGTGGAAGCGAATGTGGTTATATTCCATTAATTCAAAATTGGAATGGGAAAAATGGAATTATTTTAAGAAATTTAGAAAATGTAGATCAAGTTGATTATAAACTTTGTGTAGAAGAAAATCCTTAATAACTTATGCAATATTAGCCCTTATGTAATAAAGTCAATTAGAAACGAAATAATAATTCGCTAATGTGTTAAATAATGTGACAAAAAAAAAAAAAAAAAAAAAAAAGAAGAAAACATTAAAAATTGTAAATGTATGATTAAAGTATATATAACATTAATCAATTCTAATTTTTTATTATTTGTTATTTTCAGGTCAGTATTTTATTCCAAATTTTGCTGGATTTCATTGCATGAAATAAGAAATATATAAAAAATAATTATCCTACGGGAGATATTCTTTTACGAAAATACTGTACATTGTCAAACGTAGTCAAACGTAACAACAATAAATTTTGGGGATATTGACAATGTCAAATGATCGAAAAGGAATGTTGGATATTAAAAAAAAGTAAAATAGCATTGGAGGGGATTAAACAGACACCAATCAGAAAAGTTTGCATATTTTTATCAGAAAAAAAAACCAATCTCTTTAAACATAAAATGATTCTTGATTAGAATATTGCCATTTCATCCTATGCAATTTTTTTTTTTCACTCATCAAGAGGTGGTGTTTTATATTTAGGAATAAAGTTTCATAAACCAATTAAGACTATTAATTGTAAAATATAAAATATGGTAACCGATAATATAAATTCTTTGAGGTTCGTTGGTCGCGTTGTAATTGTTACTGGTGCTGGAGCAGGTACTTATTATTCAATATTTGTAATATAAAATATATGTTCATGTATGTCTGTACAATGTTTATCTGTATTATTAATAGAAAATTATTTTCTTTTATTTTATCTAATTTAAATTAATATAATATATTTTTAATTTAAATTATATTTTAAAATTAATTTCATAAAAACTTATAATTAATATTAATTTAAGTAATTTAAGAAATATGAAGTACATATTTGGTTACTTTACTGTAGGTTTAGGAAGAGCATATGCACTTTTATTTGGATCAAGAGGGGCTAGCGTCGTAGTTAATGACCTCGGCGGTAGCATTCATGGAGATGGAAATAGTAATAAAGTAGCAGATGTCGTTGTTGAAGAGATCAAAAGAAATGGTAAAATTAATTGTATTATATCTTATTTATTAAAATTTCTTTGTGCATGTTAACAAATTTTGCATTTTTAGGAGGTAAAGCTGTTGCTAATTATGATAGTGTTTTGGATGGCGATAAGATAGTAAAAACTGCAATTGATGCTTTTGGAAGGATAGATGTTGTTGTTAATAATGCTGGAATTTTAAGAGATAAATCTTTTACAAAAATGACAGATACCGATTGGAGTAAGTTTTTCATTAAAATATAAAATTTATTTTAATTTATTCAAATTCACATATACATTTTTTATAGATACAACATATAATTTTTATTTTAGTAAAGGTATATATTCTTTATAGATCTTATTCATGATGTACATTTAAAAGGTTCGATGAAAACTACTAAAGCTGCGTGGCCGTACTTTCATAAACAGAATTATGGTAGAGTAATATTAACTTCCAGTCATAGTGGTCTTTACGGTAATTTTGGACAAGCAAATTATAGTGCAGCCAAAATGGGACTTGTTGGCTTTGCAAACACTTTGGCCATCGAAGGAGGAAAAAAAAATATCTATACAAATGTAATTATACCAATTGCTGGTTCTAGACTAACAGAAGATATTCTTCCTCCTGGTTTGTTTTGATTATTATAACATATATATATATATATATTAATTTTCCAATTTTTTAATCATTTTTTATAATTCATTATTTCTTAACTTAATTTTCTTATATTTTAAAAGATCTTTTTGAACAATTGAAGCCAGAATATATAGCTCCAGTAGTAGTATGGTTATGTCATGAAGACTGTTTAGAAAATGGTTCGATTATTGATTCTGCTGCTGGTTGGGCTGGAAAAAGTGAGTTATGAATACTTTTCAATAATGTCGCTTGTATTAATTAAAATCTATTCATACAATAAAATTAAAAAAATTCATTATAAAGGTCAAATCGTTCGATCGAATGGCTGTGTATTAAAGAAGACTCTTAGTGATGAAGTAACTCCTGAAGCTGTCAGAGAAAATTGGATAAATATAACTGATATGTCTAATCCTAAAACTTTTGACACAATACAAGTAAGATAATGGTTATATGCTTCAAGAATTCTTTTCATTTTTATTTATTTGTAAAACATTATTGAATATTTTAAACAAAATACATGTACATTATTTTTATTTGTTACACATTCAAACTGAATTTTTATTATTAATATTATCTCTTATTATTATCGAAATAATATTTTTTATTCAGTCATTTAGTTTAATTTAATATTTTAAAGGAAGTTACTGCTGAAATAATGACGAGCGTAGAAAAATTAAAAGATGGAAATTCAGCCTCAAATAAGGTATATTTAAATTAAATTAACTTAATACATTTATTTAAAGTTTTGATATAATTATTTAAAAATATATGTTAGGATGTGATACTAAGAACAAACTATCAATCCCGTGATGCTATTCTTTATGCTCTTGGAGGTAATGAAATTATTAATATAAATTGAAATGTGTTCAATTTAATAGTTTTAATTATTAAGAAATAAAATGTATTTGTAACAAATTGTATTTATGTAAAAATTAGTTGGTGCTTCGATATCAAAACCAGAGGATATTCAGTATTTATACGAAAACCATGAAAATTTTTCACTTTTCCCAACGTTTTATGTAACATTTGGACCGATAGGCTGTATGTCCTCCAATCTTTTGGAAGATGGAATTCCAGGGCTCCAATTAGATCCTTCAAAGGCATATTTTTATACCCCACCATTTATCAAATTTTATAAATACATATCTATATTTTACTAATCATTATGTTAATGTAAATTTTAGATACTTCATGGTGAGGAATATTTGGAAATCCATAAAAAATTGCCAACAGAAGGAAAAGTTGAAAGCCGATTTAGAATAGTAGATGTATTAAATAAAGAAAAAGGAACTGTAATTCTTGTGCAATGTTCGTACATATTAATTTTATGTTTTATTTATTTTAATTTATTTTAAACTATTTTTTAAAATTTCAAATTAAAGTTATAAGTATAATAAAGTTCTGAAACTAAAATTAAAATAAAAGCTCTATCTATATAGTAATATATAAATTGGGCTTTATGATATAGTATATATGTTTATAATATAACATTGTTTGAGCATTAAATAATTGTAAATTAAAATTTGTAACGACTGTATTATTAATTAACGTCATTAGATGAAACATACGACTTAACAACTGGGGATAAACTTGCAACTCATCAAATATCAATTTTTGTAATTGGATCTAATGGATTTGGAAATACTCGTAATTCACCTCATGTCATTCCATGTATTGATCCTCCAAAACGAAAACCATGCGCTTCTATTACTGAAAAAACAAGTGCTGATCAAGTTAGTATAATAATTCTTAAATTATAATTGAAATAAAATTGTGTTCTGTAATTTATTAAATGTAGAATAAACATGACATTCAAATCTTCATAATAAACAATATTTTATAGTATACAAACTTTATAGTAAGCAAATCTTTATCAATTTTATACTATTTTATTTGTAATTTATTGTTCTTAGAAACCTTTATATATAATTTTTTACAGGCAGCTCTTTACAGATTGAATGGAGATTTGAATCCACTTCACATTGATAATAATATTGCAAATATGGCAGGATTTTCTCAACCAATTTTACATGGTTTATGCTTCTTGGGTTTCTCAGTACGTCATGTTTTACAAACTTTTGCCGGAGGAGATCCAGATTTGTTAAAATCATTGAAGGTAAATTTTCTTATATTTTAATATGAAAAACTTAAATACTGCTTTTAAAAGATAATTCGGGCTAATATTCTATTAGCTAAGCACAATTTTAAAGTAATTTCTTTTCAAAATTACTATTAATACTATTATAATTATAAATTAATGATACCAATAATTGAGAAAATCTATTTTATTCTATATAATTTATCAATTACTTATGCAATTACGTATTTATCTGTATGTCATGATCAAGCAGTTTATTCAACAATGAGTTTTAATTTTGTTTTCAACAAAATTTCAAATCAAAAGAAAATAATAACTAGTTGTAGAAATTCTATTAAATATAGCAAAATTAAATTACTTGAATTAATAAGTTTACATATGCATCTTTTAAATAGTAAAATTTGAGACGTCCAACGGGAGTATCCGGAATAAATTGTGACATGAGTAAGCATTTCGTCATAACCTTATTTGTATGTACTACTTCAATTAAATAGTTAGCGTTAAAATAGATTTATTTATTAAAGAAATTGAATTTCTTGGTAAAGTATAAATCATCGTTAGCGTATAGATTTACATTTAACTGAAAATTGAGAAAATTTACAAGTGATAATTAAATTAATAGATATTACAGTACTCACAATATTTAATATGATTATACTATTTGTGTTTAGGTTAGATTTGCAAAACCTGTTATACCGGGACAAACACTTCGTACCGACATGTGGCGTAATGGTGATAGAATTCATTTTCAAACTTCAGTTCTAGAAAACAATTCAAATGTGATAACTGGTGCTTACATTGATTTAAAAGAAGTCAGACCAGTGCCAATAAAGCCAAACTTATGTTCTTCAATAAGTTTAAAGAGTAATGCAGTCTTTGATCAAATGGCTGATTATGTTAAATCTCATCCAGATGAAGTTAAAAAAATTAATGGTGTATTCCATTATATTGTTACCCAAAATGGAGAACCTCAAGTGGATTGGAGTAAGTACATATTATTTTATAAAAGTTATACTTACTGATAATTGAAAACTAGTCCAATTTGATTTTGTTGTACTTAAAATTATTAACATAAATAATAAATAAAATATAATTTCGTATTTAATCACCTATTGTTATAATTTCATTAAAAGTATTTTTGTAGATAGTTAATTTTATTGTATTATCAAGTTACATTATATTCAACAATTTTTTATTTATTGTTTAGCATTGGATTTAAAAAAAGCTGTTGTTTACAAAGGGAAACCAAAAGAAAAAGTTGATACAACACTTACTATTGATGATAATGATATGGTCGAATTGGTACGAATGATTTTATATTATTTAAATTCCAATATATTTGATAAGAAATGTCATTAGAAACATTTATTTTTCAGGCTCTTGGAAAGTTAAATCCACAAATTGCATTTATGAGAGGGAAATTAAAGATTAAGGGAAATATTATGTTAACCCAGAAGTTAAAAACATTATTAAATGTTAATAAACCAAAATTGTAAACAGAAACTTAACAGTTGTTTGGAAGTACGGGATGTATTATAACTATTTTTCAGTTTATATTATAATTTTAAGTTTGCACATGTTATTTACTAATTTTAATCATTCCTATTTAAAAGTAATGGGATTAATAGGAGGAATAAATTTGGGACTCAAAGTATTGTACAAGAATATTTTATAATAAATATAAAAAGAAATTTTACAAATTTTGTTTAAAAAATATATTATGTGTTTTTCTATCTATATCCATGTATGTATGTACTTAAGTTATTTTTTTATTCAAATAAATTTTAACATCATTATCATTAACAATTACATGTATCTCATTATTTATTTTATTAATTATATTTATTTTATCTATTGGACAGTGTAATCAAATTAAAAAGTAAATGCCTGTTTTTGAAAATTACCTAAAATTATTTTAAAATGTTAATTATTCATGTTAAAATTGATAATTAATTAATATTCGAATATGAAAAATATAAAATAGATACATTTTTAAAAATGAAATTACTTTAATTTATTAAGAATAATTAAAAAAACAAAAAAAAAAAAAATTTAGATACTGTATATAATAATAACGATAACAATAACAAATCAAATACGGCTTTATTAATTATAAATACGTCATTTTGTTTGAATTAATCAAAATAATTATTTTTACTAAGCTCGCTATTAAACTTCACTAAATTTGAAATAATAAATTATAATTTTACATATCGGTTTATATAATATCAATCTCATAAGATTTATTGAACAAACCTGTTAAATATATCAATAGTCAAGAATTCTTTATTTATTTTTATTTCTAATGAAATGCCAATAAATATCGATATCTTCATTTTATGTATTGTCACGAATACAGGAATATTAATCTTTAATTCATGAAATTAAAGGCTGTTGGCTTGCAACAAATATAGAAACAGCTTTTTTAATATTAAATTAATTCAATTTGTTTATACATAAAATAACATGTGAAATATCTTGATAGTGGTATGACAAATATTTCGTACAGTAATCCCTTATTATTACATTTTAATGTTTGCATATATTGTAAAGGGCTTTAAGCACAATCGGTAACTAAACTACTTTTAAAAGGACAGTGGATCTTCGAAAAATCTTATTGCTTAATATTTATAAAAGAATAATTACATCACTTATTTATTTTCGTGTTATTGCTTATATATTTATAATTAATATAAAATCATTGGGATTCGTTTAAGATATCATAAAAATTGCAAAATATGTATAGTGAGAAAGAAGAACAAAGGTCCCTGGGAGAATTAATAGTCGAGCCCATACCCTATACCCATACACATTACATCGGATAAACAGACACAAATCCCATGAGATTATGTGACGACAATCGAAATTGTAGAAAAGGGAGAGAACGTTCCGAGTCGTCTCTTTTTTTATCATACGGGCCGAATGCAAGTGGCCGAAGCTGCACTCCTTCGCTCATTTTTTTCCTATCATTCTCCGTTCTTCTACTCTGTTTATCTATTGTTTCGCTAGATTTCCCAATGGGGACTGTAGACTTTTACTCGGTATTATATCGTTACTGTTGTCACATACTAAGGGAATACAAAAATCCCCAAAGGCTTACCAAAAAGACTTTAATATCGGTTATTTCAGTGATTCGCGGATACGGCTTTTATTAACAACTTGCATGCTTCCATTTCATCTTCTTCATAACTTTTGTTGCTTGGCATTAAGCTTCAATTTGTTACGAATCGCTGCGCTGAAAAATTGATTTCTATAGTCACTAAATTTTATGCTTTTCTATCGTCTAAATGATGTTCTCTATTCAAATGTCATATTACAATGATGTGTGGGTGATGGATTAATTATTACAGTTTACATACGACTCTGTACAGGTGAATAAATATTGTATAAATACAGAAATGTTTCAATATTTTAACGAATAAAATTAATGAAGTGTTAATATCTTTATGTATGCACATAGATAAAAAATTATATTTTACTTTATTCATTAAGGATGTATCATAACAGGCGCTATTTGCAAATGTTATTAACTAAATATGTCCGTTAGATTTAATGATTTATAACTAATAAGAAATTTAGAAAGAAATATGTCAGCCTTCGTAATTATTTATATTACATAAATAATGTATTGACTAATAATTTACTTTACTCACCACATTAACTTTGTTGTCTCATGTACATTGGTATTTTTTATAACAACTTTATTTCAAACAGTTTAAATTGTTTAATAAAACTGCTAGTCTTGATTAGCTATTTGCGATTGAAAACGTTTAATTTATTGGAAATTTAAAAAAATTTTTTTTTTATTTTTATTTCGATGAAATAACGTTGCAATTTATTTTTTTTTATCATTCAAAAGCGAATTATTCAAAGTGCGAATAATTTCATAAGCTTTCGTATAAACAATACAAATATAAGCATTGTAAACGTTAAGCATTATCCTGGAATGAAACATACGTCAAATAAACAGTTTAACAAATATTAAATATGTAAAATTACAACAACAAAAATTTAATGATAAAAACATATTATTCATTAATTATTTATTATCATAATAATCATTTATTTATGTTAGTTATACTATTATAATACAAAAAAAATTTTAAATGCAAAAGCTTCTTGTAGATGGCGTCAGGTACAAAATGATAGAAATTCTCGTATTATTTATCAACATAAGAAATATTAATAAAATTCAATTAGTAAAAAAATATAATTTTTTAGTAATAAAATTTAAATGTTTAAATTAAAAAAAAAATTATTGTATTCTTATTAATATGTTTTCTTGCATTATTTTATCTGGATATTAACAAATAAAATAAAATTGGATACAATTTTGAAAAAAAAACATACTTATTATTTACGAGTGTGAAATATTGTAATATTATTATTATAGTTGAAATATTGCGAAATAATATGTAGTGTTGCAAAATTAATTATAAACATAATTTAATTTTTATTTAAAATACAGATATATTTATTTCGTAGATATATTATTATCCATGAAAATTAAAAAGAAATTTAAGTAATTTATTGTACTCTTATCTTATTGATAAACGTTATTTATATTTATATTTTTATTTTATTCTCCAAATATATAAGCAAATATTTTTTAATACGAATAAAATTGATATAATAAATACAACGAATTTTGTAATGTTAATAAGTATTTGTATCATATTTCTACAATAATTTTGTACAAATATGAAAATGAAATATTTATTTTTAATACTCGAATTTCTGCGATTTTATTTCTGAAACAAAACAATATACAAAATACGAATACATAATAGACGATTTTGAGAAATACATTATTATCCCTACATATGTGATTTACTATATTACTTTATTTTTGTACTTGAAAACATATGTGTATATGACTGTGGTTAATTATTTATAGATATTTAATAATTCAAATAAAAATATGTATTAATAAAATAGCCAAAATGTTTAAGTTTAACGCTAAAACTGTTGAAAATAATATAAATATAAAAAATCATTTTAATTTATTGTTTAATTTTACTTTAAAATTACAATATGAAAAATGTATCAATTTACGTAATAACTGCGCATTCATTTATATAAAATGTTTCATATAAAGTAAGTCAATAGTTTGAGTTTTATATTTAGAAGATTTAAATTTGCTAATATTAATATTAAAACTAATTTCTATTAAATATAATTTTTATTGCAGTACAAATCATTATAATAAAATTTAATGTCTATAAAACATATTGTAAAATTAAAAGTTTATATTTTTGTTATATGCTAAATAATTTATATGCTATTTAATAGTTTCATTAAATTTGAATAATAATTAATACAATTTATTTGAATCTTTTTCCAAAATCTTTAGTTTGCATTCGTATATACGAACATTTATACTTAATTTAACGAACTTATTTTTTAAAAGTTCTTTTATTTTAAAAGTATTTATTTGACTAAACAAAATTTTTAAATATAATATTGATTATTATATGTTCATACAATTAAATTGTTTAATGTGTATAGATTTACTTTTAATAACATAGACCTATTCAATTGTAACAAATTTTTTGTAAAATACATATTGAATACATAATTATATAGGCACGCACGCGCGCGCACATGCACACGCACAAAATTATCTCTATAATCTACAACTTTTTTGACAAAAAATTTTCACGAATTTCAGTAACTATTTTAGTAAATTTTGGCCTTTTATTACTATTTTATTTATTAGTTATTGAGCATTATTGAAAATAGTACGTGCAAAATTTATTACATAGTAATTCAAGTGCATAATACATAATATTTAATATTCAAGATAAAATTATGCAAAATTATGAACATTTACGATACAAATTAATATATTTGATTGCTTCTTGTACATTAATTTAAATGCAATTTAATTATTTGTTACGAAATTAAAAATAAAAACAATATTTTGCAGTAATGTAAATTTTCAATCGATAAAGTTTTAATCAAGTTAAGATGTAAAACGATTGATGATTATCACAAAGAAAATATTTTTTTTACAATATTTCTCAAATAAAATAAAAGGATTTGGCTTTAATATTAATATTAATACATAATGTTTATATTAAAATAACTCTATTTCAATCTTATACATTCCAAACCAAATCTATTCAACATCAACTTATTTTTATAAATTATTTATTTCATATAGAAATAATGATGGTTTATTTGAATTAAAAATTGCATTAAATAAATATGTGATGCATTGGATTTGAAAAATATTTGAATAAATAATTATTATTGTTTAAATAAATTCTTATATGACTTTTAGTAGTAAATATAATTGTTTAATTAATCAATTCGTGTAATTTATATTCGAAATAATTTATTTTATCGACTATAAGCAATATTGAAAAGAATAAAATAGAATGTAATAATAAGTAATACAGTGATTGTAGTTTTAATGATTGTTCCAATATCAATAAGACAACCGAATAGTAATACTCGTGTATTCAACAATTAATTGATATATAGAACTAAATTTCATTAATTATTAAAATAAAAATGTATTATTTTATCTATCTATCAAGTGAATAAATTGATTTGAGATATCGTTTGAATAAATTACTGAATAGAATTGATTAAAAATTTTAATTTTACTGTAATTTTTTTCATGTATCTATTCTCGCATAGTTTCTCTTTGCAACAATATTTTATGTATTTAATACAATATATATTATGTCGTCTTGTGTTAGTGAAACTATTGCATCTCAGCAAAAAAAGAAATTTCTTAATTACTATAATTCATTAGATATAATAATAAAATTATTGTTAAAAAATGTCGAAAAATACAATAACGATTTTTTAATGCTAAAAATTATAAATACCATTGTTTTTGTTTTTTTTTTATTATTTATAAATAAATTCAAAATTCTAGTGTAAATATTTATGCCATATGCAAATACTTTCGTAATCCTCGTGTGTTTCCGAATTTGTCGGGGAGTACAAAGGACCGATTAAGATGAAATTGGCGCTTTAAATGTACGGTAACTATACCATATCAAGGTATAATTCCCGGTTTATGTTGTGAAATCCTCGACAAGACCTTTCGTATTGTATCGGCGCATCCCTGCGCGTCCTTTACCACCAATCTCCATGTAACTATAAGGCGAAAACGGACAAACCGACACGCAAAGAGGTAACTACAGGGCTTGTCGTATGTACCCGTAGCCACAAAAGTGTGAGCGAGCGAGTGGTTTAAAGAAAGAGAGATAGAAAAATGAGATATTATAAAGTATAGAGCAGAGTAGCTGTTGCCTACACAAGCTATTTCGCTCTTATGTACATACATTCGTCCGCGTATCTACGGCAATCGATAATAATAATTGCGGGGGGTCCCACTCCTACTCAGTCAGCCTCGCCAAGCGAGTCCGCGCCCGCGCACTAGATAGCAAGACCAAAGTCTCTCTCCCCACTTCGTCTTGACAAGTCCTTTTCTCGCGACGAGACTCCGTGCCTTCGTCGGCCAATCCCAGCCCCATAAATGCGGCCCCGGGGGAGGACCGCCCTCCCGTGTGTCCCGCCCATATTTGCCTCCCCACTACCATCGTGTCTCGACGCTCGGCCCTTGCGTTGTCGAGCCAGTCGTTTTTCGATTCAGTCGGCATCGGCGGCTTTTCCCTCGTGCATCGTTCTTTATCTCGCTTTCCTTCTATACCTCTCCCTCTCACTCACTCACTCTCTCTCTCTCTCTCTCTCTCTCTCTCTCTCTCTCTTTCTCTTTCTCACCATCAGCCCCGTTCGCGCGCTACTCCTCTCCTCCTCTTCACGCACACACGCATACGTACGTGCGTGCGTACGTACGTACTTGCACACACACACACACACTCTCTCTCTCTCTCACTCGTCGATGAGAGCGCGAGCGCTTAGCAGGAAAACACAGAGGTCTGCCTGTTGCGCACGCGGCACAGTGAGAGCGTCAACTTCCAGCGTTGAGCCAGTGAATGATTAAAGAGTGATCGACGGCCCGAGGATGATGAGCTCGCATCAACAACACCCGGCCCTCGGCCTGTTTTCCAGTATGGACCTACACCGCATGGATATGGCTGCGGCCGCGGCCGTAGCCCAGGACCAGGTTAATCACCATCAGCATCACCATCATCATCATCAGCAGCAACAGCATCATCACCATCATCATCATCAGCAGCAGCAGCAGCAGCAGCAGCAGCAACAACAGCAACAGCAGCAGCAACAGTCGTCGGTAGTGTCACAGGAGCAGCACATCAAACGTCCGATGAACGCCTTTATGGTTTGGTCGCGTATTCAACGCAAGAAGATCGCCGTGGACAATCCGAAGATGCATAACTCGGAGATCTCGAAGCGATTGGGAGCCGAGTGGAAACAGCTGACGGAGCACGAGAAGCAGCCGTTTATTGACGAGGCCAAGCGGCTCAGGGCAATGCACATGAAGGAGCATCCGGACTACAAGTACCGGCCTCGCAGGAAGCCCAAGGTCCCGGTCTCGGTAGTGCCCAATGGTAAACCCGGACAGGCCCTCGGCGCTGCTGGATTCCCCAGCTTCTCCTTACCCTACTTCGCCTCGCCAGCAGGCCCCGTTGGGCATCATCCCCATCATCCCCATCCTCTGGATTACGCGCCGTTACCCGGCTACTTTGGTTCGGCATTCGACGCGGTCCACCTTGGCAAACTCGTGTCCACTGCTCAGACGCAGCAAACCTCGACGACGGCTGCGGACGTCGCCAACAACAATGCGGCATCCGCAGCGGCGGTCGTCAGCAGCTTCTACTCCAGCCTCTACAACCCGGCGAATCAACAAGGCAAGGTCGCGAGCCACTATGGATCAGCGGCGACTGCCTCCCACCTGGGCTCGCTCTTCCCCGGAGCGGCGCATCATCCAATGGCCTCATCCGGTCTTGTATTCCCAGGGGCGCAGTTGGCCGGAGCTCAGATTGCTCACAGCGTCAGTCCCAGCAGTAGCCCCGGCTCAACGCCTATATCCTCTGGACATGGATCCTCCACGTCGCCGTCCGCCGCTCCGAGCCTTGACCTGGATCAACTGAGGCGACCGGTATCGGTTATATTCTAGAAGGCGCGTCTCAGTCGTACGAAAGTATATTTTTGTATTTTTTATCTTCTCTTTGGTTGAACTCGGTCGGTCCGTTTCCTTTGAATCTCGGTATTGAGGAATCTGTGCACCTTCATACGTCACTTCGTTATATCGAAGATATCGGTAATTCCAGGCGTCGTGGAATCTGGAAAAGCGTTGTGTATGATTATCATATGTGATTGTATAGAGAATTATATATTATTTATAGATTTTGTATGCAATTCGTGTTCGCTTGTGGATGCTGTCGATTAAAATTGTACGTTTTGTTAATTTTATTATGCATTCTAATTAGAATATCTTTTGTACGCTCAAGCAGAGATGTATTCGCTCGAGATCGATTTTTTTTTTTTTTTTTTTTTTTTTTTTTTTTGATAATTAACATATCACATGAACAATATTTAAATTGATTGACATAGTCGAAGGAGATCTATAATGAAAATCATACATAGATACAAACTAATTAGCGGATACACTTCCATTTGGCGATTAATATTTTTCTTATTTAATGCTTTTTCTTTTCATTTATCCCTAAAAATTGTATACACAATACGTACATAATAGGCGATGCTCATTATATTAGTGCACGCGCGTCGTCAATTTTACACTCATGTATATCGTTACGCCCTGAAAGTGGCTTCCCGACAAAAAAGAAAAAAAAAAAAAAAAAAAAAAAAAGGGGGGGGGGGGGGGGGGGGGGGGGGGGGGGAGGGGCTTTATGAGATTGGGAGAGGAAAATGTGAAACGACCGGGTTAATACAAGCACAGATGGGGTTAATACAAGCATTGTAAAAAGTATTATGTGTATAGTGCAGCTACTGGACATGATTATAAAGTTACGAAATGTTAAGTGCAAGATAGAGACACGGACAGTTACGTAATCAGACGGAACCTCATACGAACTTTAATAAGTACATCATTACATTACTTCAGTATTTGTAAAACTACATAATTTAAAATTAATTTTTGCAGTGATTTATCTAGTTACATAAAATTGTATTAATATACAGACGAATATTGTAAAATTCGTGCGAATCTACGTTTCATTCAATTTCTTTATCAAAATGTAGAAATATTTGTGTCAGCGACAGACTTCATAAATTCCATACCTCAATGTGTCTTTATGTAATTTAATATTATTAAAAAGAATAAAGGGCTGTAAAAAAGTCCTAGTAACGTTGTTTTACATCTATCCACTTACATCTATGCATTTCCGTTGTCGGATTTCCAGATGAGTTTAGATCATTACTTTTAAATTAATATGATAATTTAAATTTTTAAGTAGGCACCTTCCATACGTCGAGTGAATAAAAATGAGAAATACTCACAATTGTACATTATATATAAATATGATATTCATTGTCGTCTTGATTGCTCTTCAATAAGACTAGTCCATAAGTAAGAGATCGACGAAATGTCGATTGTTTTTAGTTCATAATTTTCCCTGTAAATTGTATTTGTTATCAATAAATTGTTATTATCTATTCATACAACGAAATATCATGTCATATTATTTACTACATTACATAACTAATACCATACCTTGCCATGCTCATTCCTCTCTCTAATAAGAGTCTAGCAGAAGATATTATAATGAAGCCTTTCAATTATTTATAGAGCGCAAGCATTTGATTATTCTCTTTTTTGCTATTGTGACATTTCCCAAAAATAATTAAAAAAAAAAAAAAAAAAAACAAAGAAAAAAAAACAAAGAAAAAAAAATTTCATATCATTGACGATACTTGTAAACATTAATCTCTTGGGATCTTAATATATAAACATTCATAAATCAACGAACTATTAGCGTAAGAGAAAGGTACGCGAACAATTTATCAAATAGCGAGATCAGAAAAAAGGTGCAAAGTGAGAGTGAAAGAAAAAAATCGAAATTTCATTTATACCGTGCCAAAGTTGACACAATAACTCATTCTATTCGCTCGATAAAACTAACCCTTTCAACTCGCCTAATTTAATGATCGTCGTCGTCATTTCTCTCTTTCACTCTCTCTCTCTCTCTCTCTCTCTCTCTCTCTCCCCTCCCTCCGTCTCGCCCCTTACAGTCACCCCTCTACTTGTTCTTTCATAAAATTCTCCGAAAGTCTGAGGAAGATGGAAATAACCGCAATAATCTTTTGACGTACTTATAGCAGGGAGGCACAAGAGCTTAGAGAGAGAGAGAGAGAGAGAGAGTTAGTGAGTGAGAGTGAGAGAGAGAGAGAGAGAGAGAGAGAGAGAGAAAGTCGAGAGGGTAGTAGCACGTTGAATGACGCGGGAAAAAGTAACGCGGTCCGGCCTTGCGCCTAAACGGCCAACAGAGCCAGCGGGGCTTCCTCGCAAAAGGTGTTGCATGCAGTGCTTACAATTGCCCTTTAAACAGGGGGTAGTTACGGGAAAGTTAGCCCTGGTCGAATAGATGGGGTGGCCGCGAGATTTGGTAGTGCGATCCACAGAGGGGATGAAGCCTTAGGTTTTTGATGAAGAAGAAAAAAAAAAGGCTCGGGCTGCGTGGGGTTGGATCATATTGTGAGCGCGTGGATGTAGTTTAAATCTGGATCGCGCAAAAAACAAAAAAAAATAATAATTGAAATGTGCAGGAAAGGAAATTAATATTGTTATAAACATATTTCCAAGTTCAAGTAATTAAGTAAACGTTGGGCTTTGAAGATTTTAGATTAAAATTAGGAATTAATACATAAAACTCATTATTTATACATAAATTAGCTGGTATTCAAATTTTTTTTTTAAATTATTTATTCGATAGCATGTTTGATACGATTGAAAACAGCAGAGAATTTATAGTTATTTTTATGAGTGACATTTATCTATTTATGTTTAATATGATTGTTTGTTTGCGTTCTAAAATGATGAATAAATTAATTAATATCAATGTCAAAATGAAGAAAATATAATATTATGAATATTTTATGATAATAAATTAAAAATTCAATAGACTTTATAATAGTTAATAATTGTTTTGTTTCACGCGACTGCAATTATCTGCAAATTAATAATTTAACAAAATTTGCTTAAAATTTATTTAAAATCGAAGAACGATTAACTTTTATATTAAACTAAATATCGAGTAAAAATAATCTTAGAAAATTTCTTTTATACCATTGAGGTTTATAATAATTATATAATTGAGCAAATATTTAAATTTTTTAATGAAAATTGACGTATAAAAGTTTTTTAATATTTTCCATTAGTTATTAAAAGTGGTAATATGTACGATAAAATGTATAATTTATCACTGGAGACGATCTATTAACATCAATAATAGAAATATGCTTTATTTATATATAGAACAAGTTTCGGCTAAGGAAGCCAGCAAAATCAATCCAATGATCTGATTATATTGATTATGTTATTATTTATGAATTTATTTGTTCATATAAACATCTATACGCATATATAATCCAGCTTAAAAGAAAAAAAAAAAAAAAAAGATGAAGCGCGTTTCATAATGAAGAAGAAACTCTATTTTGAAATTCACAATGAAAAATGAGAATAGCGGTTTCATAAAAGTCGCAAAATGCAGTTTCGCTCTCATGTTAAAATAAAAGTGTTTTTATACAAAAGTCAATTCTTAATGTGTATCTTCAAAACCGACTTTCAACAGTTTCAACGACACGCACGAGCACAAGGACATTGAGTAGAACCGTGGGTCGTGGCACGGTAGCACGGTGGCACCGCGATAGGAGTGGGACGGGAATGACGGAGGGACGGCGGGGAGTTGAAGAGGTGACAATAAAAAGACGAAAGGGCGTCGCAGAAAGTGTTATTATTGCGGCACCTATGGTATAAGGCGAAAAGGGTGGTCACCTCGAACCCGGCGCCGAGGCGACAAAAATTTCTCCATTTAGTTACTCGTCCTCGCGCTACGGGGGTACGCACTACGAGCGTAAAATAAAGGGGTGCGCGCGCGAGCGACGTTTGACGAGGACCTGACGTTGATGTCTTTGATGGCCGGCTTCGAATATCTCGCGCCGCGCCCCGAGGAAAATTTGAGGTTACGAGATTTTGGGGCTTTTTGTCACAGGCCGCGTGTGAAAACGAGGCCCATTTAGAGACGTTGGGCACCCGAGACGATTAATGCCTGCTTCCTTTATATCGCGTATTATTTCGTTTTTCTCTTTTGCTTTTTTAAACTGACTGTCTTTTGAGATGCATGGCACTTTCTACCATTGTGCTTTATTGTTGAAATTTCGCTACTTATATTATTTTGTCTTTTAGCTGATCATAAAGAAGGAGAGGACGTTTTTTTCTTCTTCTTTTTTTTTCCAAGCATTTGTTCGATGGGAAAGTTTTTCTTTATTTATACGCGTAAGGGCTGCAGGTGTATAGTTGAAAAAAATATATTTCAATTCTGGAATGTAAGTTTCATAGAGATTTATTCGATTTATTCGCAGGTTGCTTTAACGACAGTTTATACATTAGCAGAAGAGTTAATTTTTATGTCTATCGGATCGGGATCGTCGTGGAAATTCATTATTTTTACACTTATATATTTAAATGCAATTCTACAATACTTTTCCATCGATAAGGAATTAAATCTATGGTAATTTTGTTTTTTGATTTTTTTTTTTCTTTTTGCACAACAAATATACTTAGGGCCTGCCAAAGTTTATAATTCAACAATAAAGATTAAGATTAAGGCTGATATTAAATTTTACGACTTAATTTGCGAGTACTTTAAACAATAATATTCACGTAGTTTTAGAAGAAAGTGGACACATTGATTAAACTCTTTTACTTTGATAGATTATCATACCAATGTATATTAGAAAAAAAAAAAAAAATCAAAAAAAAATAAAAAAAAATTTCTTACCGCACTTATTCGCGTTAATGTTCATTTGTAGCCTCAATCGTATGCCAAGAATAATCTATTAAAGCATTCGCTTTTTTTTCCAACAAAAATATTAAAATGAGCGTTTGCGTTATTGAATGAGCCACTTGAATATCAAAGTTTTGATTGTAAATTACAAAATCACAATAATCGTCACGCTTCAAAATTCATTAGAAATAGTAGCCGTGAAAAACAAGCCTTTTCCATTACCATGCTTAATTGTAGCTTCACTCACTGTCAAAGGGTTTAATGGCTTCGGCATGCATTGTAAAGCCAAAAAAGAAGTTCAAAAAATCTTACTGTCGAACTAAAAGTCCAGGGAGT